TTTTGCATGCTTCATAAGGATAGTGAATCCTATTTTCTGGTAAATTTTCGTAATTTTAGGAGACCTCTAGCTAGGTCTTTCGAGCTAAACCAACATCGGATGATCATGGCCTAGCCCGGGCTCCGTGGGCACATTTGATGCAAGCTTGACATCCTACACTCTTTATTGATGTATTTTAAGACTTTCGATCGTAAAAAAATGCATCCCGTACGATGATTTTCAAAAGTTGGTTCGGCACATACTATTTCCTCGGCCATCCGGACGTCCGGATGCGTACTGATCGACGATCCATCGTACTGATCGATTTTTTTTCGAGGATTCCACGAACGTTACTCTTTATTGAGGCATTTTAAGACTTTCGATCGTAAAAAACTTCATCCCGTACGATGATTTTCAAAAGTTGGTTCGGGCACATACTATTTCCTCGGCCAGCCGGACGTCCGGATGCGTACTGATCGACGATCCATCGTACTGATCGATTTTGTTTCGAGGATTCCACGAACGTTACTCTTTATTGAGGCATTTTAAGACTTTCGATCGTAAAAAACTTCATCCCGTACGATGATTTTCAAAAGTTGGTTCGGGACTTAGCTATTTCCTCGGCCATCCGGACGTCCGGATGCGTACTGATCGACGATCCATCGTACTGATCGATTTTTTTCGAGGATTTCACGAACGTTACTCTTTATTGATGGCATTTTAGGACATTCGATCGTAAAAAACTTCATCCCGTACGATGATTTTCAAAAGTTGGTTCGGGACTTAGCTATTTCCTCGGCCATCCGGACGTCCGGATGCGTACTGATCGACGATCCATCGTACTGATCGATTTTTTTTCGAGGATTCCACGAACGTTACTCTTTATTGAGGCATTTTAAGACTTTCGATCGTAAAAAACTTCATCCCGTACGATGATTTTCAAAAGTTGGTTCGGGACTTAGCTATTTCCTCGGCCAGCCGGACGTCCGGATGCGTACTGATCGACGATCCATCGTACTGATCGATTTTTTTTCGAGGATTCCACGAACGTTACTCTTTATTGAGGCATTTTAAGACTTTCGATCGTAAAAAACTTCATCCCGTACGATGATTTTCAAAAGTTGGTTCGGGACTTAGCTATTTCCTCGGCCAGCCGGACGTCCGGATGCGTACTGATCGACGATCCATCGTACTGATCGATTTTTTTTCGAGGATTCCACGAACGTTACTCTTTATTGAGGCATTTTAAGACTTTCGATCGTAAAAAACTTCATCCCGTACGATGATTTTCAAAAGTTGGTTCGGGACTTAGCTATTTCCTCGGCCAGCCGGACGTCCGGATGCGTACTGATCGACGATCCATCGTACTGATCGATTTTTTTTCGAGGATTCCACGAACGTTACTCTTTATTGAGGCATTTTAAGACTTTCGATCGTAAAAAACTTCATCCCGTACGATGATTTTCAAAAGTTGGTTCGGGACTTAGCTATTTCCTCGGCCAGCCGGACGTCCGGATGCGTACTGATCGACGATCCATCGTACTGATCGATTTTTTTTCGAGGATTCCACGAACGTTACTCTTTATTGAGGCATTTTAAGACTTTCGATCGTAAAAAACTTCATCCCGTACGATGATTTTCAAAAGTTGGTTCGGGACTTACTATTTCCTCGGCCAGCCGGACGTCCGGATGCGTACTGATCGACGATCCATCGTACTGATCGATTTTTTTTCGAGGATTCCACGAACGTTACTCTTTATTGAGGCATTTTAAGACTTTCGATCGTAAAAAACTTCATCCCGTACGATGATTTTCAAAAGTTGGTTCGGGACTTAGTATTTCCTCGGCCAGCCGGACGTCCGGATGCGTACTGATCGACGATCCATCGTACTGATCGATTTTTTTTTCGAGGATTCCACGAACGTTACTCTTTATTGAGGCATTTTAAGACTTTCGATCGTAAAAAACTTCATCCCGTACGATGATTTTCAAAAGTTGGTTCGGGACTTACTATTTCCTCGGCCAGCCGGACGTCCGGATGCGTACTGATCGACGATCCATCGTACTGATCGATTTTTTTTCGAGGATTCCACGAACGTTACTCTTTATTGAGGCATTTTAAGACTTTCGATCGTAAAAAACTTCATCCCGTACGATGATTTTCAAAAGTTGGTTCGGGACTTACTATTTCCTCGGCCAGCCGGACGTCCGGATGCGTACTGATCGACGATCCATCGTACTGATCGATTTTTTTTCGAGGATTCCACGAACGTTACTCTTTATTGAGGCATTTTAAGACTTTCGATCGTAAAAAACTTCATCCCGTACGATGATTTTCAAAAGTTGGTTCGGGACTTACTATTTCCTCGGCCAGCCGGACGTCCGGATGCGTACTGATCGACGATCCATCGTACTGATCGATTTTTTTTCGAGGATTCCACGAACGTTACTCTTTATTGAGGCATTTTAAGACTTTCGATCGTAAAAAACTTCATCCCGTACGATGATTTTCAAAAGTTGGTTCGGGACTTACTATTTCCTCGGCCAGCCGGACGTCCGGATGCGTACTGATCGACGATCCATCGTACTGATCGATTTTTTTTCGAGGATTCCACGAACGTTACTCTTTATTGAGGCATTTTAAGACTTTCGATCGTAAAAAACTTCATCCCGTACGATGATTTTCAAAAGTTGGTTCGGGACTTACTATTTCCTCGGCCAGCCGGACGTCCGGATGCGTACTGATCGACGATCCATCGTACTGATCGATTTTTTTTCGAGGATTCCACGAACGTTACTCTTTATTGAGGCATTTTAAGACTTTCGATCGTAAAAAACTTCATCCCGTACGATGATTTTCAAAAGTTGGTTCGGGACTTACTATTTCCTCGGCCAGCCGGACGTCCGGATGCGTACTGATCGACGATCCATCGTACTGATCGATTTTTTTTCGAGGATTCCACGAACGTTACTCTTTATTGAGGCATTTTAAGACTTTCGATCGTAAAAAACTTCATCCCGTACGATGATTTTCAAAAGTTGGTTCGGGACTTACTATTTCCTCGGCCAGCCGGACGTCCGGATGCGTACTGATCGACGATCCATCGTACTGATCGATTTTTTTTCGAGGATTCCACGAACGTTACTCTTTATTGAGGCATTTTAAGACTTTCGATCGTAAAAAACTTCATCCCGTACGATGATTTTCAAAAGTTGGTTCGGGACTTACTATTTCCTCGGCCAGCCGGACGTCCGGATGCGTACTGATCGACGATCCATCGTACTGATCGATTTTTTTTCGAGGATTCCACGAACGTTACTCTTTATTGAGGCATTTTAAGACTTTCGATCGTAAAAAACTTCATCCCGTACGATGATTTTCAAAAGTTGGTTCGGGACTTACTATTTCCTCGGCCAGCCGGACGTCCGGATGCGTACTGATCGACGATCCATCGTACTGATCGATTTTTTTTTCGAGGATTCCACGAACGTTACTCTTTATTGAGGCATTTTAAGACTTTCGATCGTAAAAAACTTCATCCCGTACGATGATTTTCAAAAGTTGGTTCGGGACTTACTATTTCCTCGGCCAGCCGGACGTCCGGATGCGTACTGATCGACGATCCATCGTACTGATCGATTTTTTTTCGAGGATTCCACGAACGTTACTCTTTATTGAGGCATTTTAAGACTTTCGATCGTAAAAAACTTCATCCCGTACGATGATTTTCAAAAGTTGGTTCGGGACTTACTATTTCCTCGGCCAGCCGGACGTCCGGATGCGTACTGATCGACGATCCATCGTACTGATCGATTTTTTTTCGAGGATTCCACGAACGTTACTCTTTATTGAGGCATTTTAAGACTTTCGATCGTAAAAAACTTCATCCCGTACGATGATTTTCAAAAGTTGGTTCGGGACATTACTATTTCCTCGGCCAGCCGGACGTCCGGATGCGTACTGATCGACGATCCATCGTACTGATCGATTTTTTTTCGAGGATTCCACGAACGTTACTCTTTATTGAGGCATTTTAAGACTTTCGATCGTAAAAAACTTCATCCCGTACGATGATTTTCAAAAGTTGGTTCGGGACTTACTATTTCCTCGGCCAGCCGGACGTCCGGATGCGTACTGATCGACGATCCATCGTACTGATCGATTTTTTTTCGAGGATTCCACGAACGTTACTCTTTATTGAGGCATTTTAAGACTTTCGATCGTAAAAAACTTCATCCCGTACGATGATTTTCAAAAGTTGGTTCGGGACTTACTATTTCCTCGGCCAGCCGGACGTCCGGATGCGTACTGATCGACGATCCATCGTACTGATCTTTTTTTTTTCTCGACCATTCCTCGTACTGGTTGACGATTGCTCGTACTGATCGACGATTTCTCGTACCAGTTTTCAATTCCTCGGACTTTCATCGTCCGGATAGGTGCTGGTTGACGATTGCTCGTACTGATCGACGATTTCTCGTACCAGTTTTCATTTCCTCGGACTTTCATCGTCCGGATAGGTGCTGGAGATGCTTTCCTCGTACTGATCGACGATTTCTCGGACCAGTTTTCATTTGCTCGGACTTTCATCGTCCGGATAGGTGCTGGCGATGCTTCCCTCGTACTGATCGACGATTTCTCGGACCAGTTTTCATTTCCTCGGACTTTCATCGTCCGGATAGGTGCTGGAGACGCTTTCTTATAGCTTGGCGGTGTGAGCTTGAGCACTACCTCACACCAAGTATTTAGCCAAGCATTCTCTTATGTTTCATTTTTGACAAGTCCGTGTATCCTTTTTTTTCCAAGTGTTCTTCTTGACTTAGTCTTCCCACTAGGCACTTTTGTTAGCGTTTGGGGTTTTCAAATCACTTGGCGATATATTTATACTACCAAGTGATAATATTGAACCTCGCGGGACGAACTCGTGTTAAACTTGAGAATTTTTTTGGGAGCTCTTGTTTTGCTAGTGTTAAACACTTGTGTAAAATTGGATATTGTTTTGGAGGGACTTTGGGGAGGGTCGAATCTTAGCGACAAAGGGCTGAATCTCAGTGGATCGTGGCAGCAAGGCCACTCTGCCACTTACAATACCCCGTCGCGTATTTAAGTCGTCTGCAAAGGATTCTACCCGCCGCTCGGTGGTAATTATAATTCAAGGCAGGTCCGAACGACGCTTCCGCCGAACAGACTTAGCCAACGACACGTGCCTTTGGGAGCCGAAGCTCCTACTGAGGGTCGGCAATCGGGCGGCGGGCCGCATGCGTCGCTTCTAGCCCGGATTCTGACTTAGAGGGCGTTCAGTCATAATCCAGCGCACGGTAGCTTCGCGCCACTGGTTTTCAACCAAGCGCGAT